TAATTAGAGTCCCTGGAGGCTGTGTCACGTCCCCCTGGGCACCCAGTGGAGCTGCCCGTGTGGCCCATGGAAGGCCCAGCGTGGGCTCAGCCATGGCACTGCAGGCTCTGTCTTGGTGGGTACATCGGGAGCCTCGGTTTCCCCAAGTTGCCCACATGCACACGCACCCCTCCAACTCCCTTCCCTGCAGGGGGCGCTCCAGGGGCCATAGTCAGTGCCTTTCTGTCCTGGTGCCTGCCCCACACTGGGTGGCCCAGATCCTGCAGGTCACCACCCTGGAGGCTCTGGGCCCTGAAACCAAGGGGACTGCAGCCATGACCGGCCGCTTGCCTGTGCCGGCTGCAGGTGGTTCAGGGGCAGCCTGGGCACCCCAGTCACCCGGTCCTCCCTCCAGGGACAAGGCTGTCCTTCCACCCCACTTTCCTGGGTCAGCCCTGCAGCATTTGATCCTGGCTTCCACTGACCGTGGCCACCTAGCACTGCCCAGCACCCTTGGGCCAGTACCCCACCCTGTTCTCTGCTGTTCCCATGGTGGTGGCCTGCCTTCCAGTAAGGTGAGGCCCAGCGCCCACACAGCCAGCACTGGGCACAAAGGCCACCTGTGGAGCCGAGGCTGCTGCGTGGCTGCCCGAGGGAGTCTGTTCTTCCCACTCCTCGTGGGCGTCACATCAGAGGATGGCTGGGGAGGGGACGCCTGTTGGGTGGCCACGGGGACACAGGTGGGGTGACCACCTCCCATCTCGTGGGGAAGGCTGTGCCTACAGCCCCTCGCCTGGTCCCTGACCTGCCGGCTGCCTGCGGCTAGTGGCCCTGGGCGCCTTAGCCTCTCAGGAGGACTCCGCAGGCTGCTGTTTGCCGGCTCTGCCTCCTAGCTGTGTGTCCGGGACCTGGGTTAGGAGCCACAGGTCAGGCCTGGGCACCCGGAGCTCTCCCATGACTACAGGGCACAGGGGCTGCCCAGCTTCCTGGACTCGAGGCTACTCTGGAGTTGGGGTCCTGTAGCCCCCGTGGGGGCGGATATATCAGCTCCTCCATGCACAGTGACCCGGGACAGGCCAGGGCTCTGGAGGTGGCCGCAGGAGACTGTGCACATCTGGGACGCAGTGTGGGGACCCCAGTGCTTAGCAGGCGGCTGTGTGGGTTCTCAGGAGAAGGTAGGAAGGGTGGGGTAGCAGGACAGAGCCGCCGGCACAAGGACCGTCCACGAGGCCTGGCCTTGGCCCGTGACCACGCTCTCTGCCTCGGTTTCCCATTTCGGCGGGGTTGGACTCCCAGCTCCGTCCGGGGCCCTCTCTGGGGGAGGGTGGGCACTTCCTGCCCCGTGCCCAGAGTGCTGGGTGTGCAATGGCCCAGCAGCTCCCGTCCCCACTGTTGCTCTGAGGTACGCACAGGGACCCGTCGGGAGGAAAGAGAACGTGACACACACAGGGCCACGGGTCATCGCGGTGGGAACCTCGGCCGGTCCCCGAGGACGGGCCAGGTCACAGCTCGCCTCTGTCCTCACATGGAGCGTCAGCCAGTGTCACCAGGAACGGAGCCCGGCACACGCCGCGACACATGTTGTACGGCCTCGCACGCCTGGGCCCAGGATGGTGCTGTGCAGGGACGGAGTGGGGGAAAGGAATGTTCTAGACCTGGACGGCGGCGATGGCTCCACCCTGTAAACCTGTGGGCCACAGCTCTGCGCTTCAGCTTGGTCAGCTGTTGGATACGACGGGTCACAGACAGGGGACACCACACATGCTCTTGCCCACTGTGCCCAGCTCTGCAAACCTGGCCCTTCCTCCCGAGCAGGCAGCAGCCTGGCCAGTCCAGGGTCCCTTGTCCCCAAGGTCTGAGCTCTAGTTCTTGCCCTGATGGGTGCCCTGGCCACCTCCACACCCACACAGCCCCGTTTACACTGGGGGGGGGGGCTCCCCACGGCCCCTTGGGCTGTGAGGCTGTGCCTGCTGGCCAGGCCTTGGTGGACGCTCATGAATGTGGACTCTGTCTGGCTACTGGCTGGGCCCCTGCTGGGGCATCCAGAGACAGAAGTATGCTGTGAGGGTGGTCAGGGTATGGGGTTTCCCCAGTCCTGCAGGGGCAGGGTGGCCCTGTCCTTCGTCCTGTCCCCAGGTGGCTGCGTGGCTGCTCATTCACAAGCTTGGCTGCCCCAACCATGTGGTGTGGGGTGGAGAGGGACGTGGCCCGGGGCTCTGAGCGCCAGCTCCTGGCCCTGCTTGGGTTCCTGGGAGGTGACTGGGGTGACCCCTGGGCCCTAGCTCCCCTGGATCCTACCTGCCCTGGCCACCTCCCACCTCACTTTCTGGGTGCTGGGTTCAAGATGAGCAGCAGAGTGCCAGGTGGGAGCTTTGGTCAAACATCTAGAGTGGACATAGCACTGGCTGCAGCCCATCCTGCGGGACAGGGGGCTGAGTGACCTTGGCCCAAAGGGATGTGGGGGAGGGGATGGGAGGGGTGCCCACAAGCATGTGGGTGGGGGTGGCCCCAGGTCAGAGCCCTCCGCCTCCAGGGGACAGCATCTGGCGTGCACAAAGGTGGGGTTCGTGGACAGTTCTTGAGAGCAGGGTTAGGGTCTGCACACAGCGTGCACGTTCTACCTGGGCCAATGCTGCCACTTTGGGCACCTCTGGGGACGAGGCCCCCCTCAGGTGGCACAGCCTGCAGTGTGTGGAGGTCTGAGGTCTGACGAGCAGGGGATGGCTGGGTGCCCGGGAGCATTGAACAACCTGTCCAGTTGTCCTGTCTCACTTGCCTTCTCCCCAGGGAAACAGGAGGCTCCTAGCTGACTTCATGGTACCTGGTAGTCAGTCAGTCCTTGGGGCAGCCCTGCCACCACAGCCCTGGCCACCATGGCCATCAGAGAGGATAAATAAGGATGGGTCCGTCCTGGCCAATGCAGGCCTGTCCCCTGGGTCAGGAGCCAGCTGCTCCAGGGTACCCTCTGCCTTGCTGCAGCAGCAGGCACCCTGGCTGGCTCCAGAAGGCAGGAGCTGGCTTCCTCAGGGGCAGGCTGGGACAGGTACAGCAGGCACAGCACCCGGTCTGGCTGTGAGAGGATGCAGGATACCCAAAAAGGCTGGGATGAGGCCACGTGAGCAAAGCTAGGGTGGGTACCGCAGCTCTGGGGCACAGGCACAGGTGGTGGTGTCCAGCAGGAGCTGGGGGTCGGGTCTCCCTGTCCTCCCTGCCCTCCCCACCTGTGGAGCGGAGGGCGATGTCTAGGTGGTGGCAGTGGCTCTGGCTGCTGTCCTGTGCGCCAAGATCCCAGGCTGCTGGTGCCTGTGTCTCTGCGTCCCCTTCCCCCACACCCCTGCGGCCTCCTCACCTTCCCGGTGGGAAAGTTGAGTCTCACAGAAGCCTGGTGACTTGCCAGGGGCACCCGCGCAAAATCAGTTTCCACAGCCGGGACGGCGGGCGCGGCGCCTGATGCCCCATGCTGTGGCCGGGCCCGGGGCTGGACACCGGCTTCTTCGAAAGCGTGGGCAGTGGCGGGGGCGTGGCTCAGAGTCTGGGCTACTGGAGTGGCTGCTGGCTGGCACTAGGCCGCAGGGAGGCTCCAGGACAGCAGCAAGGGCAGCCCCGACTCCCAAGCTGCCTGATGCCCAGCAGGGGTGCTGGGCAGAGGCTGCCAGGTTTTTCCTGTGCCAGAACAGACAAAGGCTGCAGGCAGGAGGCCTTGGGCTCAGCCTGACGCTGAGTGTTCTCATAACTTCAGCGGATTCCCCTTCACAGCTGGAACGTGGTACAGGGTGAGCTCCCCATCACTGGCGGTATTAAAGCAGTGAGTGACCTGGAGGTAGGGGCTGGTGGGAGCACCTTCGACGGGTTGAAGTTCATGACCTCTAAATCCCCTCTGACTGGAAGATCCCCGGGGGTTTGTTGGTTCCTCCCCAGCCTGGGACAGATTCTGGTCACACTGAGCACATTTCTCTCTTTTGTGCCTCCCAGGCTGAGACGCTGCGGGGCCCGGGTTCCCCTAAGGTGCACATAGACACCTGCTCCTCCTTCCTGCGTGGGGCAAGGCCAGCGGTGGCCAGCTCTGTGGTGGGGGGCATGCGGTGGGAGCGTGGCATGAGAGGGCAGGGCGCGTCCCTTACACCCGCCTTTCCGGGCTGCCCTTCCTCCACCAGCCCCCGGCGCAGCTCCCTGGCCAGAACTGTCCGGCTGCTGGCATCCCCAGGGCTCTCGCTCTGTTCAGGAGTTCAGGCTGCATTGGGACCTGGGCCACTGTGGGACACGGTGCAGGACACAGCGGACCCCGTCCCCTCCTGGGCAGAGCTGGCCTCGGCACCTCCCACTGGCCGACAGGCGCTGTGAGCAGCGCTGCTGTGCTGTCTCCCCTCAACCTCAGCCTCGGCGGGGCGGGCGGGGGAGCGCATAACACGTGGCAGAGTTCCTGCTGGGGACGCCGAGCCCGGGCATGGAAGGAGCAACGCTGTGGCCTGAGCCCAGCTCCGCAACACCGGCTGCCCCACTGCCAGGGGCTGGGGGCAGGGCCTGGTTCCCAGGTCCAAATGCAGGACAGGGCACGGGGCCTTGGAAAGACCCAGCAGGCTCCCAGCTGCCCCTTCCGGTTATGGCCACGCGGGGCGCAGTGTCCCACAGTCCCTCCAGCCAGCTCCCTGGCGGCGCCTCGGTCGGGGAAGACAGGGCTGGGTGGGGGCCCCCAGTCCCCTTCCTGACAGGAACCAGCAGCCTGGAGCCCTGCGGAGAGATCCACCCCTCCCGCCAGACAGCGTCCTCCGAGGAGACTGGGGGACGCACCACGGGGGACGGCAATGAATGAGCCGCCTGCTGCGGCTCCGAGCCCTGCTCCCGGCCCGCTCCTGGGCTGTGCTCTGCACCTGGGCCGGCCGAGCCCAGGCCACCCTGAGCCTGATGCCCCGCGCCTGGCATCCACAGCACGTCCTGGCTATGCGAGGGGCTGGAGGGTTCGTGGCACGACACAGCCAGGTGATCCCCGGACTGCCAGCCGTCCCTGCGTCCCCCACACTCACCTCCCGCTCCGGCCCGCGCTGTTCCCCCGCTTGCAGCCGCACAGGGTCCGGGACGCAGCGCTCATCACCGCGGGCCGCTCGGGCTGCCCGCCCGCCGGGCACGGAGCCGCCGCCAGGCCGCGCCGCGCCTGGGGCGGGGTGGGAGGAGAGGAGCCGCCTCCGCCCGGCCCAGGTCCTCGGGCCGCCACAGCCAAGTCCTCACAGGCCGGGCTGCGGGACGGACGGCGGGCGACCCGTGGGTCGCTGAGCCCTCAGCTTGGGTTACAACCCCTCCCCGGCTATTTTTAGTGCCACTTTTCCTAGGTGTTACTGTGTGGGCCCCACCCTCGCCGCGGGGTTCCCATGGGACCCCCCCACCCTGCCAGCAGCTGGGCAGTAAGGAGAGGCTGCTGCAGGCAACTCTGCCTGCTGCCAGGGCTGCTGGCTGGGCACTTCCGATCGCAGCAGTCCCGGCCCCCCAGCCCTCTCTGGGCGCACACTGCACAGCCCAGGCTGGGGCCACACATACCTGGCACTGGCTCGGGGAGCCCTGCATGAGCTCCCCAGCCGGCACTCAAAAGAGGCACGGGAGGTGCCCAGGAGAGTTCCTCCAAGGTGAGGCTCCCACTCCCAGTGCTGGGGCCCGGCAGGCCCTAGGGAGCGAAGGCCTGGCACACGCTGCAGCAGGCGACCCCTCCGCCTGTGACTCACGCTAGACCCAGGCCCGGGCTAGTGCCCCTCTGAAAGGGAGAATATGGGTGGGGGACCCCCCAGAAAGGGTCCTTCCAGAGCAGTTCTGCCTCTGGGAACCGTTTATCATGTAAACCAGGTGCCAGGCTCAGGGCTTTCCCCAGAGAGCAAGCCGCTGAAGGCCTCTCTTGTCCCAGCTGAGGGTCCTGGGTGGGGCTCTGCAGGACTCGTACCAGTGGAGGCAGAAGCCTTCCTTTCAGTCTTTGGAGAAGATGACACGGGAAGCACGGGCAACCAGGCACACATGCACAGCCTGTCCCTGGGCCTGGGCTTCTCTCTCCATGGGAACAGCTGCAGGAAGGGACTGGGAAATTGAGGCTGACTGCATCTTATCACAGGGCTCCTAAGGTCCAGACCCGCGGTCCCCCGCCCTGGGGGAGACTCTGGACTGCACCTCGTTTCTTACGCTTCCTGCTGGGCCTGCACTTCCTTCCCTGGAAGGCGGTTTTAGGACACATTGGTGTGTATGCTCGTGCACACATGTGTGTGCATGGAACCTTGAATCCTGCCCAAGCTGGAGAAGCATCCAGCTGCACCCTTCGCCCCTCCCACCTGTCACTGCCCTGAGCAGAACCCCTGTCCAGCCCCAGCCCGTGCTGGCCCAGCAACCACTCCCCCAGCTGAGCACAGCACCAGCACTCCTGCTCTAGTGGTACCGGGAGCAGTGTTGGTACCACATCCGGGGTGCGCCTGCATCCAGCAGAGAGAGGGGACACCACTACCCTCTCAGGGTGCACAGGCCACCCTTGGTCCATGCGCCAGAGTCTCAAACGTGAGGTCCTGGGTCATTACTGTCCTGGGAGGTGAGGTTCCCATTGCAGCCCTAGGCAGATATACCTTACTTCTCAATCCCTGAAATGCCAGCACTGAGACAGGGAGCTGTTTCCACACCGCCTGGGAGTGTGGGGCCGGGGGCAGGGCCTAGTGGGACAGAGCCAGGTGTGGGTCCCAGGCCTGGCCAGAGCTGCTGACTCAACTTCCCGGGGTCCATTCCGAGTCCAGCTCTGCCGGCCCCCACGGCCCCGGGCTCTGGGCCCACACAGCCCCAGAGGTTTCCTGGCCGGGGTGTGGGGGGCGGCCTGCCTGAGTCATCGCCCTGACTTCTGCCTGATGTCAAAACAAAACCACACCGTCCACGCCAGAGCAGGGCAGCGGAGCAGAGGCCTCGACAGATTCCAGGGCTGTGGCGTCACGCTGTGGCTCAGGCGTGACCGCTGGCCCCTCAAGCAGACAGAAGCGGGCAGCGCTCTCTGCCTGTGCTGGCCCTGCAAGACCCCCACACAGACAAGGCCTCCTGGCGGCCTCAGTGTCCACATGCCCGGCCCCCCACGGGCTCCTCCATCTCACTTTCTAGAGAGGGAAACTGAGGGCAGCGGTGCTGAAGCCCACCATGTGGGAGGCCACGTGGAGCCAACGAGGACAGCAGCCCTGCCTGTGCCAGGGCAGGAATCCACGCTCAGCACTTGGCGTGGCTGGCTGAGGGATGGGGCGGCATGTGTGGCAGCCATACTCCCCATCACTGTGCCCAGGTGGACCTCTGGGTCACCAGGATGAGGGGCTTCCCCTGGCTGTGTACCCATGAGGCCTGGACACAGCTTCTGGACGGGTGAGGAGCATGGTGGGCGTCCATGAGACCACCAATCAGCACAGGCTCAGGCCTGGCTGCAGAGAGGGTGCTGGGGCCCCTCTGTGCCCCGTCGCCTCATGAGCCTGAGGCTGCAGTCAGGGTGCCCTGCAGTGGAGGCGGAGCTGGCTTGGGGTCCCTGGAGGGGCTGTGGCCAGAGTCGCAGACCCTCTCAACCGGGTGCCCTGCTGCCCCTCAGGCATCCAGCCAGGCTGGGGCCAAAAGGCATTTCTTTCCTGGCATCAGAGAACAAAATAAGGCCCTACAGCACAGAAAGGAAACTATAACATGGAAATGCATAAATCTTTACAAAGAATAGCGCAGTGCACTGGCCTTCCAAGGGGTTTGGGATGGGGTGGAGGGCGCTCGCTGGGGGCTCAGTAGATGGGAGCAAGTGGGAGGGGGGTAGGGAGGAAGGGGGAAGGGAGGGAGGAGGGAAG